CAAAACCCCAAAACCCCAAAACCCCAAAACCCCAAAACCCCATGAGAAAATATTGGGTATAATTTATAAATTGTAAGAAAAGTGATATAAATTATTATTTTCCAAAATGGATAGAGATCAAATAATATACAAACTTAAAGGAGCAATAGAAGACAATAAACTGTTTTAGTTTGAACAGGAATGTAATGATAACATAAATCAAATTGACTAATACATCAAAGTAAATACTATCTGAGGTCCATTTATATAATTTAGAAATTGTGCAAAAATAATTATCTTGAGTTTCTGCAATCATTGTCTAGTGTGTCAAAATTCAAAGATGGCATTAAAGTTATTAGGAAGGAGTTAGGAGAAATGAACAACTGCATTGAGTCGATAGATAAAGATTTTTTCTCAAAAGCTTCGAAATCTCTCGAAGTCAAATCTAATTATTTCAATGCACTAGAATCAGTAAAACAATTTAAAGAAGTTAAAGTAAGAATCATAATTCTGACAAAGAAAAATTTTAGAGAGTAGTAGAGAGGGTAAAAAAGATTGAAACTTTGATTTCTAAAGATATACTCAGTGTTGCTTTCCATGAAATGGATCTTCTAAAGCAAGAAGTTTTAGATGAAAAAATGCCTACAAAGTTAAAGGAATGGTTATGGTCAAGAATCTAAACACTTGATGATAAGATAATAAGGCTTTTATAAAAGCTCAAGACTAAGATTTTAGCTGATCTTGAGGATCAGGAGATAAGCGCAGGAACTTAGGTTTTAGATGAAGTTAAGAGATTCGTACAAATTTTAGGAAAATAATTTATGCTCGAGAGTGACATGGATAATAGAGAACTCAGTCATGGTCAAACAGTATATACTAAAAATGGAAATAATAATAATGGTAATAATTCAGCAGCTTAATATATGAATATGAAGAGAAGCTAAGTAGGCTTCTCCTTTTATAAAAGTGGAATGGGGGCGCTAGGTATGCGAGATAGTAAAAAGGCTCCTAATTTGCTTGTGTCTAGTATTATGAATATGAAAAACATAGGGGGTATGTAGCCGAAATTTCAAGATAGATCAAGCTTGGCATAGATTGCTTTTTCCAGAATTGGAAACTTACCTAAATATGATACTCCCAGAAATGGGGCAAGCCCAGGTGGCTTTAGTCAAGTTTTATCGCCAGGGCAAATTAGTGAAAGGGACAATACAGCTTAATATTCTGCAATTTATTCTTTAGAAGCTATATAAAAGTAAGCAGTGGTTACTTAAGATATTATGATTGATATTGATTTTGCAAAGATTGATAGTGTCAGGAAGTTGTTCTCTAATATAGAACAAGAAAATTAGTTTATTAATTTTATTTAAAATGAAAGAATTCAGAGAATACTTAAGTTATCTAAGCTACCAAGAAGTAAATAAGTACTGCATTTAATTTTTTTAGAAACAAATGTTGAGGAAAGTCTGGCAAGATTACTAGGATTCTTTGTTGTATAGATTCATCTAACTTTTAATCTTTCCAACATATTTCATCCCAATACTCTTCAGACATATTGGGAGAATTGCCTATTATAAATGCAAAAAAGCTTGGTAAAAATTTATATAATTTTGATGATGATAACTTTAGGAATCTATTGTAATGGATTACGATTATTAGCCAATCATTCAGACAAAAAAGGAAATAGTTAACTTTGTCCTTGGAATGAGAGATCTAGGGATTGCCCAAGATTTATCGTTTTTAAATACTTTGATTAAACTTCATGATGTTTTCATAGACAAATTACTATCAGGTCTTGAGAAATAAATTGATGATATCTTGGAATATGAGAATTATGAGTAAATTTCAGTTAAGAATTCTGAAGAACTTTTTAAAACAGTCGATAAGTATGAATTAGATTTATCCAAGTACTTTGGAATGAATCAGAACATGCAACTTTCATATCCAGTTTTACTACCATACTCTAGTTCTGTAGTAAAACTTAATGATCTAGTAGAGAAATTCCTCCAGGACAACTTCTTATATTGGCAGTTCTTATTAGCAGACAAAGCAGACTTTACGATTGCTTACTCTTCGTGTGACAGGATACTATGTAGAACAATTGAGCTATTATCAGAACATTTCTTCCATAAAAACAAGTTCACTATACTCCAAAGAGCATAGTTTTGTTCCAATTTACATTATTTCTTATAAAGTTTTGGCTTCTTTAAGAAGATCGTTTTCCAGCTAGCCAACTAAGGAGCATACAACTTTAATAAAGATATTTATGGATTCTAATTTAGTTCTGAAAACATAATGAACCATTTTAAAATCAAATGTGAAGAGTCTATATTTACAGAGTTGAGATAAAAAATAAATGATTTTCTCAGTATTTTTGAGGGATTACCATGGAGACCGAAGAAGCCAGATGGAAATAATCATGAATTCGTGGAAGATCTTGTTTTATTTCTAAGATCAACTATAGTGAATCTCGATTATCAAAATAAGGAGCTTGCCAAGCAATGTTACCTAACTACATTTCAGCATCTTTCAGCAAGAATTACAGAAGTGTTAGCTAATTCAAAGACAATAAGCTAGATTAACTAAGCTGGGTTTATTAATCTATACTAAGATTACTTATACTTGACAAAGTTTGCAAAGGAATAAATGGTTGATAATCAGTAGATGTTTGAAATAGGAATGGGAGAACTTCAGCAGCTGATTAGCTTATTTACTGAGAGTTAAGTTGAACTGGGTGTGAAAGAGATACTAGATGATGATTTATACAGAAAGAAATACTCAAAAATAAACCTTCGAAAGTTAGTATTGATCTTAGAAAAGTTTAAAGATGACAAAGTTTCACTAGGATCAACATAAAATGAGGAAATAGAAAAAATAATTTAAAAGCTTCCTAAAATCAAGAAAAGCGATGCTCAGAGTGTTGCTAAGAAGCTAAGGGAATCCATAAATTTCCAAAAGTGATGATTATAGTTAGATTAACATAAAAGGGTAATTTAATAGTTAATAAGATATATCTCTATTTATAGCAAAAGCAGAAGCTAATCTTAATATCATAACTTCATCTCTCATCATTATAATTTAAATTACCTGGCTGTTGGGAATATCTCTCATATTAAAATCCATATCTTCTTGGTGTATCTTATCCCTACTCTCTATCACTCTCCTCATCTCTGCTATTTATATCTTCCCAATTCTATTCATTATCGTCAGAACTATCTGAACTTGTTTCAGATGATTATTCAGGAGAGATGAATCCGTATATCTTGGATTTAGGCTTCAATAAGTATTTAACATTACCCTAGATTTGCTTCATATTCTTTAAATTCTAAATTCTTTTTGTTACTTACTTATGTTCCTCATTAATTTCTGAATCTTCTTGTTATTTTTAAACTACTGTTCTTCTTTGCGCTCTAGTAGTTACCCCTCTTTTGCTTATCTCCCTCCCATTTTCACCAAGTCTTTAATAGCCTTCCTTCACTTCTTCTTTTACTTCTTCAATCTCAAGCATGCTTCTTCTTACATCAATATCAGCTATAGCTCTGCAATCACTTGCATTTGTACTCTAGTTATTCAAGTTTTGATCAAAATTTGAGCTCTATCTATCTTTGATCTACTTTATATTCATTTGCTCTTGTAATTATATTTTCTCCTCCTCTACTTTTTTCTCTGCAATTTGTTTTTTAACTAGCTTTTAATTAGCCTATGCTTTTCTCCCTTCTATCACCTACTTCATGTCTCTTACTATTCTCAATTTAGGCAGCTAATGATTTCTCTTTTTCGCTAGTATAGCTTATACTTTCTAGTATCCTTCAGAACTCAAGAATTCTGATAATTCTTCTAGTATCTGATCTTTATTTTATGGGTCACTGATAAACTCCTTGAACTTTTCAATATCCTGCTAATTTTCAGTAATGTCCTCAAGATTGTCCAATTTGAAGTAAGGTTGGCCGTATTTGTCCTCTCTTTTCCAAAGCGATTTCTCGCTCTCATACTTGATATGTTTATTATATTAAGATCTTTGAATTAAGATTTCACTGGGTAATTGTGCTTCCTCATCGGCTTTCTCTTATTAAACCTACTTGTACTTTCTCAACTATGGCCTCATTTGTGTAAATTTTTAGTCTTGCTGATAAGAATATATTAAGATTTATTAATTATAATTTAATATTCTAATCCTCTATTTATACATACTCGCGGGGTTTTGGGGTTTTGGGG